TATGATTTCTGAGGTCTTGGGCCTTAAGTGTTGATATTCTTTATTCAGTCACGTTTCCTGATGTGGAAATTATACCTGCACCCAGTATTTATGTGTGTGTGTGTGTCTGTGTGTCAAGTGTGAAGTGAAGGCACTCTTTTGTAATCGACATGGTGCCATACATGTCCCACTGGTACCTTTTCACTTTTAGGAGAATCACATCAGTTTACTAACTAAAAATAACTAGTGGCATATTCACTGTTAGTCCAGAAATGTAGGTAAGACATAATCCCTGCACTGTAGGAGGGCAATGTACTTCTGAAGGTCCTGACCCATTATCTTTCTGATGTAGCTTTTGTATCATAACAAAAATCACCAGTCTGGAACAGAGCAGTTTGACAGAATGACTCAGTTGAGTCACAAAATGACAGATGCTAGAAATAAAAAAGAAACAAACTGCCAGGTCATTGCTGTGAAAGCAGTATCCTTCACCTGTAGTTCCTGCTATTTATGCAGTCATGGTAGTTTGGGGACCATCTTTTGTTGATATGACATGAAAGTTTAATATGGTTTTATTTATTTTCTAAAGTTACATATTGCATCCTAGGATATAACTACAGCAGCAGCCATGTGCTTCACTTGGTGTTTCCAAGCTGGTGATCCCAGCCAGTCCTGTGAACCAGCATGCTCTGTCTCTCTGCTTCAGATCCACTTGCAGCATCGCTTCCCTTCCCAGCTGCTGGGCTTCCCTTGGCTCTCAGTGTTTGCAGCCAAGCCCTCCCCTTCTCCATTTATATGAAGCTAGGCACGCCAAACAAAATCCTCAGACCACGTAGCTTAATTCTCCCCAGTCTTGATGGTGCAGCCAGCAGAGCTGGGATTTATGTGCTGTGGTCTCCAGGCAGTTCATTCAGCCTGAACTGCACCTTCTGTTTACTCTGTAAAGGGAATGGCTATTGCATATCAGATTTAATCCTGGCTGTAGCTGTCTGTGAGTCAAAGCTTTGCTCGAAGGCAGCTGTCTTCCAGAAAAGCAGGTAAAACACATTGCACTGTTTTGTCTGATCTGCCTGTAAACAGAGCTGATGACATGTCACTGGAAATGATTGTTCAATTATCCAACAACAGTGCAGAAAAGTGGGTTGTATATGCTGAGTGGTTTTAGGTGGGAGTATAGCTAGAAGATGCTGAGGAACATGGTTAAGTTTTCTCTTCTGTTTTAGATCAGAGACCATATGTCTCAAACAGACCCCTGAGCTTCTACCAGGGCACTGACTGGCACTGCCAGTAATTTGGCTGTAGATAGGACAGGAGGAGTTTGCCTTACTTGATACTCATAATTAAACATGAATTTGCTCAGGAACTTGAATCTGCTACATCTACATTCATAAATTAAGTAGCATCTGAGAACATTCCTGGGCACTGGGACTCCATCCTCTGTCCTGCTGAATTGTAATGCTGAGAATAATAGTATGTTCTCTGCCAGTTGGCTTCAGTGCCAGGGATGACCCAGGGCATATTTGATTTCCTAGCAGCAATGCAGCCCACCAGCCCCACTTCTTGCCTCCCTGTAAGAATTCTCTTCTATTTGTTCAATAGCTAGTTTGACCCAGCGTAGAGATATTGAACTGAGTGGAAAAGGGGGCCTTGAACATTGTCTACCTGGAAATCAGGGCAGGGATTTGAATCAACAATTGCCCTGTTTTCTGACAGAGGGTACCAGTAATCAAGCACCAAGTGTTTGCTGAGGCAGTCTGGTCTCATACTACAGCGATTTGACTTTTCTACAGTGAACTTTGATTGTATGAGTCAGAGGTACAGGAAAGATAGTGACCCTCCAGTCTGGTGAGATGATGTGCCCTTGGGAGAGGAACTCCTGGGCAGTTGTCTTTGCTTTGATACATGTTCAATAATACATAGAAGATGAGAGCAGACAGAGCATGTAAGTCAGTGCTGAGGTGGTGAGCAATGAGGCTTTGGATTCACATTGTGGCAGGAGAATAAGGGAATTGCAACTTGGGAACTTGTGTTCTGCTTGACTGCTTTTATACCACAACCTTTGAAAAGGAGATTTGCAACATTACTGGCCTAATGCAACTTTCTTTACAGCTTTTCAGAAAAATAATGTTTGGGAAAGGAAGTGTAAAGTTGGCTTCCATGTAAGCCTACGAGTCCAAGGTAGAAATTATTGTGGTGGGGAATGCTTATTTTTATGAAAAAGAGGAAAAAAAGAAATGTGATTTGATCCAAATTGGAGGAGGTTTGACATGGTGGGGAATACTTATTTTTATGAAAAAGAGGAGAAAAAAAAAGAAATGTGATTTGATCCAAATTGGAGGAGGTTTGACTGCTGTATAGAAAAATATTTGTTTCACTGTGCTTAGGTAAATAATATAGCAGCAGCCCACACCTCTCCCTTAGAAAGCTGTCTCGCAGGCAGCAGTTAATGAACTAGTAATGAAAAAAGTCAAATGGGTTCTGCTTTATTATGCCCAAAATAGGCTCACATGTTGACTTTCAGCAGAATCATCAAGAATTTACTTTGGAGCCAAAATACAAAAAGTTTCTAATAGTTCTCAGCTGGTTTGTGTGATTTCTCTAATAATTCAACATTTATAAAAATGTATGATGCAATTTTTCTCAAATGACAAATTATAGCTGTGAAATATTCCAGTTCATTACAAAAATAATAAATTTTTGTTCCCTTCAGAGAAGCTAACTATTGACCAGCATTTACAACAGGTAGAAGGGAAGCCTTTGCTTCCTGATTTTAGAAAAAATCAGGAATTTAGTGTTTGGAAAATGAGGGTTCACCAGTGCTGCCCTGGACAAGTAGTACTGTGGCTGAGCAATGCAGAGGCAGGTAGCCTGCCTTGCCTCCATGGAGTTTTCTGTCTCTCCTGGATGAAGTCTTTGGGAGTCTGCTTCCAACATAAGGCACTCAGCATCTGTAAAGGGAGAGCAGAACATCTATCAAACATGGAAAGATCAAAAACTGTGACTCCCTGTGGAGTGACTGTTGGGAGGGAAACAGCTGAATAATGTTGAACATATTCAGATCTCTGACTTCACCTAATGCACGCTGTGAAGGCTGTGTTTGTAGTCAAATGCTGATTCATTGTTATGGATGTGGAAAACCTTTTGTGCTTCTGCCTTTAAGACACTGCTCTATTAGTTGTTTGAGAGGCAACACTGCTTCTGCCTTCTCTCAGACAATACAAGCATAAATGTTAATCAGAAGTGTGATTTTGTGTTGCTGAAAAGGCAGGCCTGGTTGTCAAATGTCTTGGGTGGTGGCTTGATGCTTGGTACACTGAAATAATTTCAGAGCTGACAAGGGCGCTGTGGCTGAGCAATGCAGAGGGAGGTAGCCTGCCTTGCTTCCATGGAGTTTTCTGTCTCTCCTGATGAAGTCTTTGGGAGTCTGCTTCCAACATAAGGCACTCAGCATCTGTAAAGGGAGAGCAGAACATCTATCAAACATGGAAAGATCAAAAACTGTGACTCCCTGTGGAGTGACTGTTGGGAGGGAAACAGCTGAATAATGTTGAACATATTCAGATCTCTGACTTCACCTAATGCACGCTGTGAAGGCTGTGTTTGTAGTCAAATGCTGATTCATTGTTATGGATGTGGAAAACCTTTTGTGCTTCTGCCTTTAAGACACTGCTCTATTAGTTGTTTGAGAGGCAACACTGCTTCTGCCTTCTCTCAGACAATACAAGCATAAATGTTAATCAGAAGTGTGATTTTGTGTTGCTGAAAAGGCAGGCCTGGTTGTCAAATGTCTTGGGTGGTGGCTTGATGCTTGGTACACTGAAATAATTTCAGAGCTGACAAGGGCATTTAAAAAATCAACTTTAAGAAAAAATCATCACGATACTGAAAACTCAATGATTATTTGTCTCTTCATGGATATCAAGACTGGTCATGCTCATTCTCAGGAGTCAGGAGCCACTGGAACAGTTGAACTTTTCACTTTGAAAGACTCCTCACCCCAGTGTCTAAAACAGCCTTTAAACTTCAGCCCATCTGCTTCTAATGGTCTGGGTACATAAAAACTTCCATGATAGCCTTTCCTCAGAGCTCATCCTTGTCAGCTTAGCAGGGCCAAGGCAGGAGCACTGCAGTGCTCCCAGAAGAGGCTTCTGGCAGATCCCATGGTGCAGGCAGCACAGAGATATTTTGTGCTACATGAAGAATCAAACTGCTCCTTCTTCCCAAGGGGATTTCCTCAAATGTGGTGTTCTCATGCTGCTAGGAGGAACTTTTTCTGCATTACCAGGTGGTGATGGATAGAAAATGCAGGTGCTATTTCCTTGAACAGCTCTTGTGGGAGTAAATTTATCCTGATAATAAATGCAATTATTTTTAAAGTGTTATGTGTTCAATAGCTCTTGTGTGGTATAAGTGCTTGATGTGTGGTGTGGCTTTTCTTATGTTGGTTCTGTCCTAGCTCAAAAAACATGTTGTTGCCTCTAAATAAATCAAACCCCATTTAATTAGCAAAGTGCCTTCCATAGTTATTTCTGTGATGTAGATTATTGTCTCAGCAGCATCAAACTCAGTGGGAAAAAAAATAAATCTAAGAAGTGTTAATTTGTTCTCCGGAAATAGCAGGATTGGGGATGAGCAGACAGCATCAAAACAGAATAAAGTTTCACATACATAGTTGCTGGTTTATGGAAATGACCTTTCATCTTTCAAAGACAGAACTCTTCCACTGGGAGATGGAATGTACAAAACAGCTTGACAAGACAGCCTGTAAATGTGTGTCTCTAACATAAGCATAGCTAATATTTTCTATTATTGCTATGTAACACTCTCTGGGCAGCAATCAGTTCCATTTAAATACGATTAATATGAAAGTAATAACGTTCCAAACTTCATTCTTGTACATACTGTCAGAGGAAAGACTGTTGATTTGTTTTTTAAATAATCTGGTACGGAAATAAAATGGAAGTCTAATTCCTGTGACACTATAATGCTCTTCTCAATTCTGCACTGTCTGAATTTTTCAGGGTTTTGAAGGTATTCCTGTCGCGAACGGCTCAGCGTATTCCATATATGACAGGTGGGAGAGTGATGAGGATGCTGTCTGTTATTCTTCTGGTGGTCTTTTGGTTTCTCATTGGCTGGACTTCTGCAATAACCCAAAATTTGGAGAGAAACATTCCACTCATTGGTCAAGGGCAAACATCTGACCACCTGATCTTCAATATGTGCCTCATAGACCGCTGGGATTACATGATGGCTGTTGGTATGTTAATTTTCTAGCTTATCTTTAATTTCTATAATAAAGTTTGGTTGCCTTTTAATTCTTCTTCTTTAGAATATCTTAAAGTTTTGTCAGACTGCCTAATATGTAAGAACTACAGCAGTAAAATATCAGCATATAGGGTTTTTAAATAGGCTGAGAATTAAAACAAAATATGCTGACACTTCTATGACTTTCAAAGGTTTGTAACTTGGATTGTAGCAACAAAGTGATGTGTGCTTAAGTCATTTCATCTTTGAAGGCAGAAGCAAGAAGTAGCTCTTCTACTATTGGAGCTCTTCAATGGCTCTTCTACTATTGAAGTGGGAAATGGTGACTAGTTTAATGAAGGCTTTTTGATTTTGCACCACAGTACTGGGCAGAGTTCTTGTGTGAGGAGGGAAAAAACTTCCACCACCATTCATTCATAACCTTGCAGAAATTGGTATCAAAGTACAGGGAACAGGAAATGAACCTCAAACGTGCCAATTTGATGTATTTGTTAGATGTGCTTTCAGTGCATGGAATAGGCACAGGAGCTAAGAATGACGCCCTGCAGAAGTCATATAAAGCAGAGAAAAGATTAGTTTTTGTTTCCTTAACTCTGTAAGAAGCAGTGGGTTTCCTGTGCCAGGGTTCAGCTAAACAGTGTGATGTGCCTTCTCCCACGCAGTGCTTCCACCTAGAACCAGTGTTGCCTGTACAGCCCAGGCTAGCCACCCACTGTCTCAAATACCTCAGTGTTTTGAAATCTGAAATAAATTCCTACTTTTCTGCCATTTCTCTGTTTCTCCCATGGACATCCTGCTGACAGACCCCTGCTACTGAGGATTAGGGAGAGGTAATGGTGGCTTTTCCACATGAGAGTGCAGATGAAATGGACAGAAGTGTTTTCTCTCAGACTGGCATGCAGAAGGTCAGTGTATGACAAAACACTGCTGCCAGCTTCACAGAGGAGCTTCCACGGCTCCAAGGTGCCCCTGTGCTCTGCTTCCCTCTCCTTTCTGTAAGATCTCAGAGGCAGTCAGGCACAGGGGTACCCCACCTGGCAATATGCTCACTGTAGACCATGCAGAGAAGAGTAGAAAGGAGCGTGTTTTGAAATGCATCTCAATTTGGATCCTTTTGGAGGGTGTGCTTTGCAGTAATGGAATAGTAGTATTGGCAGAGATGTTGTAAAATTAACAAAAATGCTGTCATCATGATGTCATCTGCACTAACCCATTTTGGATCAAAATTTTGGTGTACTTGACAGTGTAATTTTATTAATATTGTGTTAGTGGGGTTTTTTGAATAATGGCAACAAATATTTTTAGTCTCTGGGTTTTATAATTCTGGTGATGTAGTGATTAACAATTCAGATCTTAATACCTAATTCTGATCAATTATATATTTTGGCAAAAAATTACCTAAGTTGCTGTCTGCCAAGCTTTGAAAAAAGTAAGGATTGTTTTTTAAGGTATATTTACATTTAGAAGAGTTTTTAATGTTTTTCAAAATACACTCAGGGATAGTAGAAGCAAAGTGAGCTCTTGAGCCTGGAAAATAGGGCAGAATTTCTTTTGTTCAGTCATTTTGTCTTCTTACCCACACTACCTCATAAAGAGAATTATGCAACTCTTCAGTAAACTATGCAATCATATTAGTGGTACCAAGAGATGTGCACCTACAAGACTGGTAACATGTGTGGTCTATATATATATAAAAATTTATTTATTTATATGTGTGTATGTGTGTGTGCATGTGACTCCAAGATTTTTATTGTTAATAGCAGCTTCAAAAGCTTACAGTCAATAGGAACTAGTCCCAAATTTAGTTACTTCATCTCAGAAATGTGTCAGAAGTAATATCCTTAACACAGAATTCCTTTTATTCCTATGTTAGGAATAAAACACAGCCTTGCAAAAATATAATATATAATAAATTAATTGATAGATTCTGCTATTTGATTTCAAATGCTAAAATAAAAATAGTGGATGGCAATTGATTAAAGCCTTGTTATTTTATTTAATTTTTTCAGGCACATTATTTTATATAAATCTAGTGAGTGTTTTGCAATATATTCTGTCACTTGTAGCCCTTGCTGGAATACTTCCCTATTTCACTTGGCTGTCAACACTTCACTGAAATGCAGACAGGAGATTTTCAAGGTCACAGATTAGTGAAGTGAGAATTAACAAGGCTCTGCTAGAAAGTCATAATGAGATGAATCCTTTATGCTACCAGAGATTATTGGAATTGGGATTTATGAAGCATTTTCCATACTAATCGTGCTACTTAGACTCTGTCTCCGGAGACTTTTATTACAGTGAATGTTTTATATTTACATTTCCATTAAGTCTAAGAGGATGGTCTCTGTGAGAGATGTAGGGACTTATACACAATGGTTATCACTGTTTCTAGCATTGCCTCTGTACTCTGTGATATGCTGATGAGAAAAATTAGCATTCAGTAAATCTTACTTTATCTACATAATGTAATGTAAGTTACTGTGTATTTTCCTTTGGGTTTGTATGTTAGTGTGTATTTTCCTTAGGGTTGGATACTTGTGGGTAGCTTATTTGTTACTTGCCTTATTCTTTTATTTCCTGAGTGTTAGTTTCTGCATCCCTTTCAAGGTCAGGGCATCTGTCTCATTGAAAAGCCATGGCATGGTTGACAGTCTGAGATTGCAGAGAAAGACCTGAGGCCTTGAAAATACTTACCCACAAAGCCTTTTCTCAATGGCCTGAATATATTCTATACCTCTACCTGTCACAATCAGATTTTGACTTAGAAAACAAGTCCAAGTGATAAACTTCTGCTACCTAAGGGCTTGCAGTGTCACAAATCAAACTACTGTTCTTTATCCTGAGGGGAAAAAATCTTATAAGTGTAACAGATATTGTACCAGGATTTAAAAGAGCTTCCCAGAAACTGGAAAAAGAGACAATATAATAAGTTTAATGAACAAAGCCCCAGGGAGGAGACAAAGGCAGGCAGAGAGATAAACATGCATGCACAAGCACAAACAAAAAGCAGAGGAGAAATCTTGACAGGTGGATGTTCCTGACTTCAGCAGGGCCAGTTTCACCCCAAATGGATAGGCAAGTTTTTAAAAATCCCCCATGCATTCTGTGTGTGTTTTTCAGTTTTTATTTAGACCAGAAGTGAATGACAGGTATTAACTAAGGACAGGGAGATGTTTTTCCCCTGCACCTGTTTGATTTCTGGCTGGCAGGAGCAGTGCTGCTCCACTGTGCTGAGCTGCTGCCGTGGGCCTCACATCCACAGGTCATGCTTTGGGTCTTGGGCATCAGGAGGGTTTCAAATATGAAACTTCTTCATAATTACTGCATTCTCTCAGCCACAAAAAGGAACAAAATTAGTATTTTTTGACTATTCCCAGAAGAACTCCCTATCACCGTTCATTTGTTGATGCTCAACATACACAATCTTTGCATCTAACGAGGGCATGAGGTGCCAGGACATGCTCTGGGCATCAAGACTACCTATACAGTTTTGAGCTAGGGCATTGTAATACATCCTTATGAGGGCCCTTTATTAAATTTTCTACAGGCTCTCTGCTGCATTCAGTGAATGAGTGATCATTATTTCTCTTTGTTATCTCCATTTGATGTGGCCCTATGCCATATTTGGTGTGTGTTGTTCAGGGCACGCAGTGAATGAAGAACTGTTCATTTCCAAATGGGCATTTTTAAACATGTTCCCCTTAGCATCAGTGTACAAAGATTAAAGCCAAAATTATCCATTTTCAGTGTCTGTCTTGAGACGTGGAGGGACTGTTTTTTCAGAGTACTGTTTATAGCCTCCTCTGTGGAAAGCACAACCAGGAGATACTTAGAATTCAGCACTGGTGTGGATCTGGCTTCATTTCTCACGTTAGGTACTCAAAAAATATATCATGTAAAAATAGTGATCACTTGTGAAAAGCTTATTCTAAGTGATAAGGCCAGGGTTGTATAAATGTTTGCAGCAGAAATAGAAGAAGAACAGTGTTTTACAAAGTACCTTCAGCTCTGTCTCTTTTCTGCTTGTGAATCACTCCTCCTGCCACCCTGTACACCTCTTCAGCAATCCTTCCACAGTCCCCATCTCCAGCACTGTGTGCAGTTTGATGGCACTCATCTCTAGGATAAGGTAAATCTGGAAGAGGATGAGGGACAGCACCAAAGATGGGGAGTGCTGCTGGAACCCCCAGGTTTAGCAGTTTGGGTTGCATTAACCCCTGCAGTAACGTTACTTTCTCTTGTTACCTGCTATATGATAAGTGAAATCCCATACCCTTTACATAGGCATAATTTCTACAAAGTATTTCTGCTCAGGAAACCATGTTTGTGTTGCCTGGGCCATGTGTTTATGTATTGGTGAATGCCATATTTAGTTGCTTCTGCAAGTCCCTGTGGTTTGGGAGAGGCTGGAAGGTGTTCTGACTTCCTCTTGTCGTTGCACCACTCTTTTTGGGGTCCACTACTGGTACTGCTCCAAATCTTTCTGACACTTTAAGTACTTTGGATGCCATTGGCATTTGCTTGCGTCCTCTTTAAGATGTGAGAGAAGAGGCCCCACACTCAGCCAGCTTTCAGCTGATGTTGTTCTCCCTCTTTCATCCACACACAAGCAAAGAGGTTGATAGGGTAGGGCATATGGAGACAGGAAGAGTGTTTAGTAACAACAGTGAGCTGTGGAAGTCATGAGGCAGGACAGCCTTAATTCCAGAGGAATTAAGAAAATAATTTATTAGAAGGGCTAAAATAAGTGCAAAAATTAGAGGAATTCCTAGAGACCTGAGACTGGCATGTGTTTAGTGCAGTGAGACTCCTTGGTCTGTTGCTCACACCCAGGTCAGTGGATAGGTCTCCACTGCCAGCAAAAGCCATCTCTAGGGCACCCTGAACCCACAGGACCCACAGACCATGGTCTGCATGGCCCTTGCTTCACTTTGAGTAGACCTGCAAGGCAGTCTTGTGACGGTGTGGGGGACAGAGTATGCTGTGCCTCCC